AGTTACGTAGTTTTAAAAAGATACTTCAGTTGGCTTCCAAAATGGCTATTACCAACTTACAATTTCTCAGCAATGAATGAATACCTGTTCCCCATATCATTAAGGACATTTGATACTAGATTTTTAAAATTTTTAATGAATAAAAAATTTTTTTTTGTTTTTTAATTAAAAACTCTGGCACTAGTAATGGGCATCTTTTCATATGTTTATTTTAGACCTTTTTTATATTTGTGAATTGCCTTTTCCCAGTATGGCTCATTTTTCTGTTGAATGATTTGTCTTTATTAATTTTTGTTAGTTTTTCATATAGTACAGGTATTAGGCTTTTATATCTGTTACCAGTGTTTACTCAGTCACTTGTATTTGACATACATGGTATCTCTTCTTAATGTTTTATATTTCTATATTCAAATTGATAAATTTTTATGACTTATTTCAAAATATGAAGTATATTCTGTATTCTAAGACATTTATTATGTATGCATCCAGCGAGATTTCCATCAAGAATTTATTTTTGTGGGGCTACTGGGTGGCTCAGTGGATGAAAGCCTCTGCCTTCGGCTCAGGTCATGATCCCAGGGTCCTGGGATCAAGCCCCACATCGGGCTCTCTGCTCAACAGGGAACCTGCTTCCTCCTCTTTCTCTGCCTGCTTGTGATCTCTGTCTGTCAAATAAATAAAATCTTTAAAGAATAAAAAGAATTGATTTTTGTGAAGAATAAGGTATAGAGCTACTTTTATTTAGAAGTTCGAAAGCCATTTATTGAAGTCCACTCTTCTCACTGATTTGAAATGCTGTTTTAGGGGCGCCTGGGTGGCTCAGTGGGTTAAAGCCTCTGCCTTCAGCTCAGGTCATGATCCCAGGGTCCTGGGATCGAGCCCCGCATCGGGCTCTCTGCTCAGCCGGGAGCCTGCTTTCTCCTCTCTCTCTGCCTGCTTCTCTGCCTACTTGTGATCTCTGTCTGTCAAATAAATAAATAAAATATTAAAAAAAAAAAAAAAAAGAAATGCTGTTTTATTATGTGCTAAATTCTTTAATTGAGGTATTTGATATCCCAAATAATATATTCATTTGATTCTAGTTTTGTGGTGTTTGGATCAGGTTTGATAGAGGTAACACCATCCTAATGTTTTTCCCACAAATTTCTTGACTGTTGGTGAACGTATCTTGAAGTTGTGTTTTTGGTTGTGTAAATTCATAGGATTTGGAGAGATTTAAAATGGTATTTCTCTTTAAGAACAATCTAGGTCTTCATTAAACCAAAGCTTTTGTAGGCTTGGTTTCATAAGATATCTTTATATCATCATACTTTTTTTGACATTTATTTCTGAGCATCTAGTTTTTGTTGCTATAATAAAATATACCTTTTTTCTAATGTATTTTATAATTGGTCATTGCTGTCACGGTAAAAACAATTTGGTTTTTATATGCTAATCTGTTAATGCAGTCGAACTCTTAAAAGTTTGTTGACATATCCTTTACCTAAAAAATCCAAAAGAAGTCCATCTTTGGCAGTTGGTGGGTCTTTTATTTCCTATACAATATTCATGTTTTATTTGATTGTATTTAGGATTGGTTTAGCTATGGTCTGGCCCAGACCATTTGCTACACATTTTAGTGAAAATGCTTTTAATGTTCCACCATTAAGGATAATATATGCTCTGAATTTCTGGTAGATATCCTTTGTTAAATTCTATTTTATTAATTTTCTGCTTAATTAGGAAGTATATGGGCGCCTGGGTGGCTCAGTGGGTTAAGCCGCTGCCTTCGGCTCAGGTCATGATCTCAGAGTCCTGGGATCGAGCCCCGCATTGGGCTCTTTGCTCAGCAGGGAGCCTGCTTCCTCCTCTCTCTCTGCCTGCCTCTCTGCCTGCTTGTGATCTCTCTGTCAAATAAATAAATAAAACCTTTAAAAAAAAAATTAGGAAGTAAAAAATTTTATCAAGTGACTTTTCAGCATATATTGGAGGATCAGTATGTGCTTTAATGGGTGTAATTTGAATTTTGTTCAAAGATTTCTAACATTAAGTTATTTTTATTCTTGCGATAGAACTGTTTATAAGTAAGATGAAACATGCATTTTTTTCTGTTTCATAGAGTTATTTATCCTTGTGTTTTTTTTTCTTTTTTCTTTTTTTGGTAATCTTTACACCCATCAGTCTCAAACTCATGACCCTGAGATCAAGTCACATGCTCTACTGACTGAGTCAGGCAGGTACCCCTATCCTTGATATTTTTTTAAAACTTGTTTAATCAGGGACGCCTGGGTGGCTCAGTCAGTTAAGCATCTGTCTTCGGCTCAGGTCATGATCCTAGGGTCCTGGGATCAAGTGCTGCATTGGGCTCCTTGCTTAGCGAAGAGCCTGCTTTTTCCTCTGCCTGCTGCTCTTCCTACTTGCGCTCTCTCTCTCACACACACACAAATAAATAAATAAAATCTTAAAAAAACAAAAACTTGCTTAACCAAAGGGAAAAAAAGTCTTGCACAAAGTCTTTATTGAGATTTTTCCTATTTAGTTTTTTTCTGTGGTTATTGAACTAATTCGTCTCACCTCAAGCCAATATTGGTAAATTATATTTTCCTTACAAATCATGACTTTAATCTAGATTTTGAAATTTATTAGTGTAAGTTATGTAAGGGTTATGCTTTTTTTATTAATTATTTTTATTAACATATAATGTATTATTTGCCCCCGGGGTACAGGTCTGTGAATTGTCAGGCTTACACACTCACAGCACTCACCATATCACACACCCTGCCCAATGTCCATAACCCAACCACCCTCTCCACAGGGTTATGCTTTTTTATTAATTGTTTGGTGGCAAGTGACAGAAATCCAACTTATACATAGGACTCTACAAAGTCCAGGGATAATACTGGCTTTACCTACTCCCAGATCCACAGATTTCTCAAGAACTGGTCAGTCTCTAGAGTTCTGTTTTGTTGTCATTATTGTCTAACTGTATAGTCAAGATCTCTACTCATCCCCCTGACTTTTCAGATATTTACTGAGGATCTACTATGTGCTAGAATTTTATTTGTGCTAGGAATGTAAGTGATCAAAAATTTTATTTGTGCTAGGAATGTAAGTGATTTGTGCTAGGAATGTAAGTGATCAAAACTTGAGGATCTACTTTGTGCTAGGAATGTAAGTGATCAAAACTTGTGCTAGGAATGTAAGTGAACAAAACAGCTCTGAATTTACATGTTTTTCCCCTTAAACTAATTAGAAAGTGATTATATGAATCCTGATATATGAGCCCATTTAAACTTTGAACCACAGTCAAGGGGTGACTGTATAGTGACATAGTTAGGCTGAGGGAGAGGCCTGTGAAAGCTCATACAGGTTTCCGTGACTGGGTGACTTCTGTAGAGTCTGGAAGTTTCCATCTGCTTTCTGAGCGGAAATAAGGCAGAGTTGAGAGTATGGTGCCAACTGGCTAGCTATAGAGTCACTGTGGCAGAGTGAGCTGTGACCCCAAGCAGAGTACAGCAGCACCATCCTAGCTGAGGGCACAGTTGGAAGGCTGGCTGAGATTGAGGGCACAGGCTAAGTAGGGTAAGGGTGGTGGGAGGAGGGAAGGGGAGGGGAGGATCTGGCAACACAGATGGCTTTCCCTCTACCCACATGTCACCTTGGGCTGAAGTACTGAGAGGAAACAGAAAATTTGAATAAAATTTCACTATTCAGAAAAGCCTAAAATAATGTGAAAGAGATAGAGACTTGTTATTTGGTAATTTTGTACCCCCTACCCCTACCCCAAGTCCAGTAGTATGAAGGCTTATGGATGATAATTTAATGTTATGTAAAGAATTCTGTGGGGATTTTTTCAGTGTCTGTACTGTATGCTGAATTTCCCAATTCCAATTATCCAACTGAATTCTACAAAATGCCTGTGAAGTGATACACTCAATGCTCAATACTTAGTTTTCATCTCCATTTTTTAAAAAGATTTATTTGGCAGCAAGATATGTAGATAACAACGATATAATGTTCACTGGGGAAAAAATAAGTAGCGTAAATCCTAGACAAATAATTTTTAGGAATATCATTTATTTGCCTTAGGGCCAGGAATGGGTATTTCAAATTAGGGTTGTTTTTGTTTGGTTAGTTGTTTTTTGTTTTGTTTTGCTACCATTTAAGTTTTTCCCGTTATCTCTGACTCAATTCCAGTATTTACAACTCATTTATTTTGGATCTTTGTCCCCATCTGAACTTTACAAATCTGACATCTTGTCTTAGAATTTTGGCCCAAGTTTCCTCACTCCTGGTCACACCCTGTTCTCCAGCGTAAATATTGTGCAAGCCCATTGGGCGAATGAGTGGTAGGCGAGTGGTTGCCCAGCCTGAATTTCCTTAAAAAGTATATTATACCAAAAGATGACGGCTTCCCTATCCTGAACAATGTTGCACTCCTGCCTTCATTAATTTATTCCTTCTGTCTCATCAGATACTTAGCACATACTCTAGCTCAGGTGCTATCTTATGCTCTTGAAATGCTTAAAACACACAAGGACCCTGGTCCTTAATTTTAGCTCATTTGTTTACATTATTTTGCAAGTCCTTTTGCCTCCGCTCTCTTTTAGAGCAAAGATGAAAGAGAAACTTTCTAAGCCATCAACCTGCAAAATGGGTTGCCAGGAGTTCCTGTTTCAAAGTGAGGAACGTGCGTGCGTGTGCTTCCGTGTGTGCGCGTGCGTGCATGCCTGCGCGTGCGCATGTGCACGAGGGCGCATGCGGACCGAAGCTCTCAGCTGCTTCTGGACGTCCCTGTATGCTTGCATGGCGGGGAGGAAGTACCCTATGACAGAACGCCAGCATTCTTTTTGCTGCCGTTCTCGCTTTAAAGGTTTTGTAACTTCGAAAAACAATGGATATGAAGAGATAAAATAATTAGGGAGGAAAAAAACCTACCGTTTTTTCTTGGAAAACATCGCCTCTTTATTGTGGAGGAAACTGGTTGGTACTAGTTGGCCAGAATCAGGAAAACGAAGACTAGGACTCAGTCTTGCCCTGCTTGTTAACCACTGGTCGTGGATCCAAGAGCAGTTCCCCAAAGGGCTGAATGCTAGTGTTCTCTCTTGGCAAACTGGACACAGTCTGACCCGATGGGAATGTGGAGGCAGGGGACAGAATGAGTTGTTCATGCCTATTGCTACAAGAACAAGGAGATGAGGTAAGTAAGGTAAAGGGCACTGGGCACTGCACAAGCCAGGACTATAAGGAGTGAGGAAATAGATGCATGTGTTTCTCTCTCAAACATCTCACTCCAACTCCTCACTGTTTCATCCAGTAATTCTGTGTGGAGTTCAGCGAGATGTTGGAGATACCATTGCAAATGAGACGAGGTTCCTGACCCCCAACTCCCGGAGATGAGCCATGGAGGAGGAAAGGCTGCACAGCATCTGCCTTTCTGGAGCCAGGGGAGGCTGCATGGAGAAGAGGACAACTGCCATGGATCTTGAAAGAAAGGTGAGTGGTAGGCGGGTGGTGGTGCAGAGAGAGACAAAATTCAGAGACCAAGGGGAAATGAAAAAGGCAGTGGAAAATCAGGGGTGACTAAATGCATGCTAGTTATTACATTTGGGGATGTGTGGAAGCTTGGCCCTTGAACTTTTTCTGCGTTCTCTCCTGTGTTTTATTTATAATTAGACAAAATAGGATAAAATGTTAACAACTGTTGATTCTGAGTTTTGTTATACATAGATTTCAGTACTCTTGGTAGTTTCTTTTTTTACTCTATTTTTTCTCTTCATTTAATTTTTCAAATATCTTACCATCCTTCCATCCATCCATGCATACATACTATTATGTATATATATCCTATGTGTCTGGCAAGAATTTCACTTCCTTCTGGAAAGTGACCCCTGGAAACTACAGTTGTATTTGCTGCCTGAACAAAGTTTGACCTTTCCACAAACCTCCAGGTACCACTTGACCTGATCATACTTACTGGGATGTGGGTCCCTTGCATTGGCTTTTTGAGGGGAGCAGATAGTCTCCAGGTCCCATCTTCTTTTCTCACATGGCTGACATGAGCTGGAGTTAGGAGACCCGTGGAAATGGCACTGACTCATTTCGTGCTTGGCTTAGCCTGGAGCTCCTCCAGGAAATCGTGGGAAGGGCAGCACTTGGCAGAAGAAATCCTCACCCGAATAGTTTGGGGTTTCCCAGAAAGCATGAGGAATACTGGGGTGGAAAGTTTCACTTTCCTTCAGCAATAAACAGAAATAATCTACTTGATTCCAGATGAACTAAATGTCAAAGAGAGAGATATTCCCAATTAGCTTATCTCTTTACCCTTTACCAGAGCTCAAAGAAGGAAATTACCCATTCCTCTTCCTGCTGGGAAATGACAATCACTCAACAAATATATCACACCTTGTATTGCTTGAAACCAATTTCAGCCTTAAAAAAATACTAATTTGTAAGAAAAATTATTCTTTTTTTTGGAAACAAAAGTTCTTTTTTTTTGTTTTGTTTTTTAAATAGTTCTTAATGTAGCAAAACCCCGAGACAAATAGCACTGTCTGGAGGCACTTAGGATAAATTTAAATCATACGGGAAAATATCTCTGTTTTTTTCCTCATCTTCCAAGTGGCTGGTTTCCTCCTCTTTTGCCAATATGGCAGTTACATTCTCGTGGCTCTGCCTTTGCTTGTGCTCTCAGATGAATTTCCAAATTTGCTACAGAGTCCATTTCAATGTTGGGCAAACAACAGGTGTTCAATAAATATCCAATTCTGTGGTTTTCATAGAGTGGGCCAGTGTTCCCTGAGGATTCCTGAAATCCTTTGAGAGGATTACCAAAGTATTATGAAAAAACATTTCATAATAATACTAAAATTATTTGACTCTTTTTGATCTCAGTATTTCAAATACAGAAAATATCAATAGATATAATGTGCATAACCAAAGCTTGGTGAAGTCCTCAGTAATTTTTAAGAGAGAAGGAGTGCTGACACCAAAAATATTGAGAATTATTGCCCTAATTGATTGGTAAACAAAACACGTAACTTCACCAAAAGGTGCTACTATGTAGTATAATGTATGCAATACCCAATGCCCATCTCTGAGAATGCCTCAAAACTTGATATTCCAAATATGGAATATGAGTTATTACTACTCTCATCTTCCCAGAAGGCCATTGGGGCCAGGGCAACTCTCAGGTTTTGTGATCCTATTCAGCTGCAGGTTAGTTGGGATCAGTAGTCTGTTGAGTTCATTTAGTGCTAGGTAGATGGCTGACTTTGGGCTAAGACAATGAAATGATAAATCAAGAACATTTAAGTTGGTAATATAATGAAATGTATCACTCTGGGTGTTTAGAATCAGTTTCACCTATTTTCAGCAGAAGATAAATTTACTAAAGAACATTAGGAATCTTTCCAAATTTTTTATGGCCTTTGTGGCTGAGAACAATGTCCAGATCATCCCAAAGCACTTGTGTGGCCAACACTGGCCCTGGATGCTGGGTGTCCCTGGTGCCTCTGAAGGCTGGGGTTCTTGGCTATCACCTCACTGGAACAGGTTACATACAGCACCTCCTCCATAGCAAAGACTTAAAATTCATATTGTCACGAGGGCACATCCAGTTGGGAAAAATCTAAGGCTCACACCCATACCCAAGTCACAAAGGAAGCTGAAAAATTTTCTCAGTTCTATGTTGGGGTTGCAGGGATTTTAAGTGGGAAATCCTCCAAGCATAGAAAGAGTGTATACAAGGTATTTGGTGTCAAAAGTTGATCTTCCCATACTTTTCTGCTTGGCTACTCAATACATACCCTTATTCCACACGTTAAATTCCCAGCAACAATAACAATAGCAATAATAATACAATATTTACCTCCATACGCATAAAAGCACACTTACCCTCTCCCCCGAAAGGAGAAACAATTTATCAGTTAAAAACAATTTCAGGATTAAGTAACAGAAAATCACAGTTAACCATGATTTTAACAAATGGGGGGGCCTTATCTTTTTTATACATCAAGAATTATTCAGTAATACTACAAAGGATGTAGTGTTTTTTCCCTGCTTTATTTATTTCATTTTTATGAAATTTTATAAAAATTATGAATGAAAGAAAGTTCCTCGTGTCTTAGTTTGTGGTCTCAAGATGGCTACCAACAACTGTAGACATCAGACCTCATCAAAACTTCCCAAACAGGAAAAGTTGGAGAGTGGCAAAATTATTATTCCATATGAAGCTTTGTTCTTTTAATTGGAAAAACCTCCAACTACCAGCCAAGGACCTGGCTCACATTGCTACCAGTTGGCTAGTCACTGATAAAGAGGAATGATTAACTTAGACCGGACATGGTTTAGTCCCTAGGGCTGGGGAAAAAAGCAATGGATACTATCTAAACATGAAACTGGGATGCTGTTAGAAGGAAAGAAATGGCAGGCATTGCTGTTACACTAGCAGCGGACATTGTCTTTTGTTTCATAATACCAAAAAACCCTCTTCTTACACTATTGATTATTTTTTTAAAGATTTTATTTATTTATTTGACAAAGAGTGAGAGATCACAAGTAGGCAGAGAAAGAAGGGGAAGCAGGCTCCCTGCTGAGCAGAGATCCTGGATCCAGGAACCTGGGATCATGACCTGAGCCAAAGGCAGAGGCTTACCCACTGAGACACCCAGGTGCCCACACTATGTTAAGGAATTAAAATTGTCCAAATAGTCCAATTTTTTTCTGCCTTATGAGCGTGGTTCACCATCTCTGAGTAGCTCTGAGTGATGAACACAATACTTCTTGAATTGGTAGCAGTATGGCTCTTAGAAAAGAATCTAGAAGATAGGTTTAAAGCCATAGATGACATTTGTGGCAAAATCTCCTATGAATGTGACCCTGCTGTCCTACATAAATTTGCCTTCTTTTTTTTTAAGTAGGCTCCATGCCTAGCGTGGAGCCCAATGCTAGGCTTGAAGTCATGACCCTGAGATGAAGACCTGAGCTGAAATCAAAAGTCAGATGCTTAACTAACTGAGCCACCCAGCTTCCCCTATAAACTTGCTTTTTTAATAGCCTCCTAAATTGCAGGCTTTCTCCATTTTAAGGGCTGGTACCACATGGTCTCATTGCTTTCGCCTGCCGTGTTCCCCTCAGGTTCTCATTCAACTGATTAAGTCATTATGAGCATAGTAGTTACTTGGATAATTGGAGCTTTTTAAAGCTTTATTAAGGTATAATTGCACACATGTAATTTATCTATCTATCTATCTATCTATCTATCTATCTATCTTGATGAGTTTGGACACATGCCATAATACCCATGATAGCATCGCCACAACCATGGCTGGGTCAGAGTGCCCTCTATTGATTCCTGGAGCACCCTGCTTATTCAGCATGAGGAAATAAATTCACTCAGATGTAGTCCAGGATGTGTGGGCAAAGTGCTGATGAGTCCTTTTCAATACTTTATCTGTCAGTAGCAACACCCTGTGAAGTTAAGGATTCAAAGAATGTTTTAATCAACAGATGGCAAGCACAGCAATAATCTCTCTCTCTCTAATCTAAAAATGTTTAAGTGCCCTAATATTAGAAGAAATGTGTTAGGGAAGGCTAGAATATTTTCAAGGGTTTTATATTGAATTAAAAACTATCTCAAAATATCATCTACATGAAAATATCTACATTCAGAAAAAAGAAGATTTACTTTTAAAAATAAAGGCATATGTATAAATTTTACTTTCCATTAAGAAGTGACAGAAAAGGAAATGCCATATTTGAAGGAGAGAAGATATGTTACCTCACTTTCTGGGAATAATTAATGTTATTTTTTATTTTTTAAAAATATTTTATTTATTTATTTGGCAGACAGAGATCACAAGTACGCAGAGAGGCAGGCAGAGAGAGAGGAAGGGAAGCAGCCTCCCTGCTGAACAGAGAGCCCGATGCAGGGCTTGATTCCAGGACCCTGGAACCATGACCTGAGCCAAAGGCAGAGGCTTTAACCCACTGAGCCACCCAGGCGCCCCTTAATGTTGCATTTTTAAGTGAATCGTGAAGAAATCAAATGTAAATAACAGAATGTAGAGTACTTTATGTTTTTTCTCATTAAACTTACAGCAACTTAAAAATATATCTCTTCCTTCTCCCTTCTTCAAAAATAATAACCACCAAACTCCTTAAAAACCCATATTGTTTGGCACCTTTTCAGTGACCAGAAAGTTATTGGCCGTGGAAAACTGAATCGCCAGTAAGAGTCCTATAAAATGTCTGTACTCCAGACTTTTCTCAAGCCAAGGGTTTGTACTATACAGGAATTAGTGGAATGAGTGGCTTTAAACTATTTTATACCTTATCTCCTTAACTATAATCTCTTTGACCATTTATAAGGTGTATCTAAAGTGATGAAGTGAAGGGGTATCAGGAAAACAGGAAGACTGTGGAGAAAAATACAGCAGTTTGAGAGGTTCTCCTCCTCACTGCTCTGGCTGCACACCCTCACCTCTCAGGTCTGAGTGTGTCTGTAATCCCTGGCTCTGTCTCGTCCACATTCCAGTCCCTTGGTTGCCAGTGGATTGAGTACTGCCCCATTCTGCCATGCAAGTCCAGAATACAACACAATACTGGGCCTATTCCTTTGCATTCCACTATACAACCACACTCAACCCATTCCTTTCCTGAATACATGGTAATCTTTAGGCACTTAACACTGCTTACTTGAAATTTTCCAATGTGGCTTTCCTATTCCCATGTTCTTGATGCCCTCTCTGCCAATATCCAAGTATAAAGGAGAAAACATTGCTTCTAGATTAAGCCTCACCTGACAGCAGTCCTGATGGAAGCTTTGGAGTCTTTTCAGCTTTGAAGTGTTGGTTTTAAAAATGCAGTGTTCAGCGGGGCCCTTGGAAAATGCCATATGCACAACAAAGCCCTTTTTTATAATCCATGTGGGATTGCATGACTCTTGGCACCTCCCTGTGCTGTATGTCTGAGGGGGTTTGTTTGACTCCCATTCTTAGATGGTGTTCTGCTGAAGTAACTTCATGGTTAAGAATTAGTCTGTGTCTGGGGGTCATAGGTTTGAAATAATTTGCCAACTTTTTTGGAAACCGCATTTTTTACACTTCATAATATATGTGTTTGTTTTAATGTAAAATGTTGCATAGCTTTTCAGTTGGTGTGTGCCAGGACTCACTGGTAATTCAGCAAATGGTCTCCAGGTATGTGTTGAGATCTGGAATGCTCCTAGGCAGGTTGTCTCCAGCTTTAAGTGGACCTATTACTATACCTGAGTGCATGCACATATATCAGCACTTTCTGTTTGCCACTGTGTGACAGACATTAAAAAACACTTCATAGTTGGTTCCTTGCACACCTCTTATCTCCTGTTGTCTTGTATGTGAGAAGCATGTCCCTGCCATGTCACTTGGGGACAGACAAAACTGGGCTGTTACTCATCTATGAATCCGCAGTATTGATGTGTATGATGGCTTGAATACCTCCTTAGTAGGTATCTGCTCCAGCCAGTTGAATTGAATGAAAGAGAGAGGAAAGTGAATCACCAAATCAGACCCCTCATTGCAAAGCTGCAAGGATCCTGGAGTTTTTCATTACACCTGCTAGGGTGTTAGGCTCACTCCAGAAGCAATGCCTTCTCCTTCACCTCATTTTCTTCTTTTCTCTAGATGGGCCTCCATACTCAACTTTGACATCAATATTTATTTAAATGAATATAAGCCCAGAAGAAATTATGAAAGTAAAACGAAAAAACATGTTATCCCAAGAAGCAGGGAAGAGAGGCAAGCACCCTGTCTAGCATCCCATCCTGCCATACCCCCCATGGATCTGGAATTCAGAGCTCTGAGCGCAGTGGTGCTACCTGGCTGGTACATGTGCCTCAGGAACTTGGAGCAGTGCCACACTGAGGTAGAATCAAATCTCATATCAGCAGTTGGCAGCATTGGCCTCTAAGTGAATGCTATGAGGTCCTAGTCTGAAACATATGCAAATAAGAACCAACCATTGCTTATGGAATGAATTACTGGTCTAGATTAAAGAAGTGCAGCGGAGGGCTGCTGTCTAGAACAGGAAGCAAACAAGAAAAGTAATGTTGTCTTCCCATACTAGCTTTGCAGTCTCCCTCTTGCAACCTCTTACCAGTGAAGTCTGACAGACACTGAAGAGAATCCCAGTCTTCCCACCCCTAGGGAAGTAGCAACACAATTTCCCTGTGGTAATCAGGAGAAATGACCCAGATATTAGAGCATCTTTCTTCTTTCTCTCCTTTTGTCTATTTGTTCAGTGGCACAAGGAACCTAAAAGATAAGTAGAGTCTCAACTTCCAAGTCCATGGAACCTTTGATTTGTTCTCTGGTGAAGGTATTATTTCTCCTTTAGGAACCAAGACTTGCAAACAAGAACAGCTCAAACTAGAGGAGAAGGGAAGCAGGAACTCTGAGAAAGAATTATTAAATGTGATAGATTAGTCACACCCCCTTCTACCACTTAAGTTTCAGATTCAGACATTCTGGTTATGGGAAAAACAGCACCATGTATTGGCTGTTGAATCAAAACATATACTGCCTTCCATAAGATAATACTCATCCTTTCAGCATGTTGTTTCTTAACTAGCATCATAATTGAGACTTCAATAAGCTGTTCCACCAGACTATCAAGTCTGTTTCAGGGTCCTTTTGTTTTCTATAGGGTTTTTTTTTGGGGGGGGTTGTTTTTTTTGTTTTTTGTTTTGTAGTTTCACGGTCATGTACAACCAGTGAATTCCATAAGCATAAGCCCATTAATATACTTTGTCATAACACGAGTTTCTTGATTCACAGTGATATTGTGGTGAATACCATGAATGATGAATGGTGAATACCATGGTGGTGAATAAGGCATTCCATAAGTTTACACATGGTGATGCTGACTGAAGTATTAAAGGCAAGGAACACAAATGCATATCCAGAATATGAGTCTGTCCTTCAGAGGACAAAATGCTGTCACCCCTGTGATAAAAGAGGTCCAGTGTAATCAATCTGTCATCAGGTTGTCTACCTGGCATATGGAAGCTCAGCAGTAGTCTCTGCTGTGCACAAGCAAAGCACTCAGCAATAACAGTAGATCAGCCTGGGTATTTTTTTAAGCCTATGTATTGCCTTTATCCCTGCTACCATGACTCTTTTGCATATGGGGCACTTAAAGAAGCACCAGTGTGACTGAGGAGGGAGGCTGACTGACATCCACAGAAGGTGTCTTCTTGTCCATTTGATTAGTGAAAGCTTCCTCTGCCATGGATGCTTTTTAGTGATACTCATGAGTCCTTGATTAATGACACAGATACTTCCATCTTTATCCATTCTGAGAATCATTGCTCTTGAGTTGTGAAACTAATCGAAATTCACATATGTCGTCTAGATAAAATGCCCAGCATACTCATTAGCCAAAATAGATTAAGCCCGGGGGAGTTTCTGCCTTGGTGTAGATGCAATAGCCCATGAACATTTCTTTAGCTATTTAATTCATCCAGAGTGATGCATACATAATGTGCATAGATTTGATATCAGACTGGAGGGTCATCACATTCAGAGACCTCAAGCTCTTACATGTAAAAAGCTGAGACAGGAGCTGGTAGATAATTCAGACTAGGAATCTATCATTTTAACAGTGTCTCAAGTCTGCTTAACATGTCCCATTTTCTCTTCTGACAGTCACCTAATACATTTCTCTGCCCTTGCTGTAGCACCAAGGACACACTAGGTAAGCAACCCCACCTCTCTCCACTCCAACCCTATGCTTCTCCCCTTCCATAATTCAAAAGGGCCACATATCAATGCTGCCTTTTAATAAAGAGTCATAAAGTTCTAAAGTTAAAGGGAAAGGAAAAAAATTCTAAGTAATTAAGAATCATCCAAATGATTGGCTCTCTTCCCTAATGCTTATAAGATTTTGCTATTTTCTATGGTAATTATGATACCACAGAAGTAAGTAGCCTGATATAATGGTGAAATAGCTTACTGAAGACTCAGTTATGTGTCTGAGAAAGTGTTTTCTTCAAAACAAAATCAAAGTTGTTTTTCTGCATATGTGTTGGGCGTGCAGATTTCTGAGAGAAAACCTGAGAGAGAATCGCATCTCAGGATTTTTACCTATTGACATCCCTTGACTATCCCAAATAAATCGTCTTACTTAATTTTCCTTTTACCTCCAGGAAGTGAAGTCATTTGAGGAAGTTTGGCCAAGAACACTCTTTAGTTGATGGTAGACAGTCTTTTTGTCTCCAAGGCCTATTTTACTTAAAGAAACTGGCACAGTCTCATTAATATTGAACAGGAGTATTTTTGTACATCCCATAAATTCTGGTATCCTGGCTGGGATTAATTAGTTACTGGAAAGCTCCTTTTCTCTACCTTGGGGATTGATCTGTACCTGTACAAATAAATATAAGGTGACCTGTTAATTTTTTCTTATTAACTGGAGAATCTTCTCACTGATCTAGTACCTTGATAGGAATAGCTGTGAAAAGTTCACATCCAATTGCCCTCTAGACCTGTTTGGGAAGTATATGTCTTTCACTCAACATAATGTCTTGAGATTCATCCATGTTTTTGTGTATATCACACAATTCTTCATTGCTATTTAGTATTCTTTTGTATGAATCTACTACAATTTATTTCTCTGTTTATAGACATTTTGGTTGTTTCTAGTTTTGGATTGTTTAAATTTCCTTTTTATTTTTTTAGATTTTATTTGTTTATTTGACAGAGAGATGCAATGAGAAAGGGAACACAGGCAGGGGAAATGGGAGAGGGAGAAGCAGGCCTCTTGCCGAGCAGAGAGCCTGACATGGGGCTTGATTCTAAGACCCTTGAGATCATGACCTGTGCCAAAGGCAGGCGCTTAACAACTGAGCCACCCAGGTGCCCCTTAAATTTCCTTTTTAAAGAGATTCAGATTCTTGGGGCTTCTCAGTAGCCCAGTTGGTTAATTGAGCCTTTGGCTCAGGTCATGATCTCAGGGGTCTAGGATCCCACCCCACATTGGGCTCCCTTCCCAGTGGGAAGTTTACTTCTCCCTCTGCCCCTCTACTTGCTTGTGCTCTCTTTCTCTGTCTCTCTCTTAAATAAGCAAAAGCTTTTTAAAAAGGTTCAGATTCTTTAACTGAAGTGGACTTCATGTAAAATTGTGAATGGAGAGCATATATTTTGCAAAGAGGAGGTTTAACAAACCTCCTGAAAAAAGGTAGAAGTGATT